TGGTATTATAGGCGTGAGCCACTGCACCTAGCCAAGAAGATTTTTTAATCTGTCTGCTTTTCCCAGGCCCTTTACTTCATGCCTTGGCTACTTCCCATATCCCAGAGAGCATCTTCTCAGCTCAATGATGAGATGTCAGCAGTGGTAAGAGTAGAATAGGGTCTTATTGCTTCTCAACTGGCTCCTGCCAAACCAAACAGTGGCAGACACATGGAGAAATTGCTGGCTGGAGATTGCAAAGAACATCACAATTCCAATCAATTCTAAGAGACAAACAGAGAGATTCACAAACATGTGCACAGACAAGGGCTTCATCAGGAGAACAGCCTGGGGTCCAGATTACAAGTGTTTGGAAATTCTAATTTTTAATATTTTCCTTCTTGGCTTTAAAATTTTAGTCTTTACTTTGAAGCTCTTGGGAATAATGATTTTTGTTTTTTTCTTTTCTCCAGGTGACAATGACTGGGATTGAAACTACTTTATGTATTTCTGTACTTTCGATACATATGCCATATGCATATGCAGATGAAAACTTATTTTCATCTTTCTAATTTCAAAGAAGAATTGCATTTGTTTTTCTTGGGTAATTTTCCCTAGTTCCTCCTTCCATCGACCCTCAGGTTATTATCAATAGTAGCAGCCGGAACATAGTAACTTTAACATGACCCCTTTTTGTTTTTCTCTTCACATCCAAAAAATGGTTTAGTGTAGGTTAGATTCATAAGTGCCCAAATGAATACCTGCAAATAACTTGTTTTTCTTATGTAGTTTGAAAAACAAATGTCAACAATTCTGAAGCAGACTGTGGTTTTATATGTTAGTCAGAGGTAATCTGTTTGATCCCTGGTCAGTTGAACTTCTGGGAAAATCAGAATTAAAATTAAAAATGGCACATCAGACTGGACACAGTGACTCATGCCTGTAGTGCCAGCACTTTGAGAGGCTGAAGCAGGAGGATTGCCTTAGGCCAGGAGTTCAGGACTAACCTGGGCAACATAGCAAGACCCTGTATTTACAAAAAATACAAAAATTAGCCAGGCATGGTGGCACACACCTATAGCTCCAGCTACTCAGGAGGCTGAGATGGGAGGATCCCTTGAACACAGAAGGTCAAGGCTGCAGTGAGCTATGATCATGCTACTGCATTTTAGTCTCACCTGCTATTGAACCAAGACACACCTAGAGTGATAGCATTGTAGCTTTCCAAGGTACCAGCTCCCAAAGGTTAAACATTTGCTTCAAACATTCTGAATTCCTTAATCACATATTATGGAGGTCTCATTCACAGATTTATCTATTCAATGGGTTTAAAAGTTGGCTGTTATTTGTCTACAAACTGATTTTTTTTTTGATCAGGGTTTTAGGTGAATATATAAAATTCATACTGATCAAATTTAGGAATTACACAATTATGAATGGGATGACTAATACTTTTGATGAAGGGACATAAAATCATTAGATTGGTATTATAAATAAACACAAACAAAAGAAATTTTGATAGAGTATGTATAAAGGTTGACACACTTCCATTAAAAAAATACGTTGAGAAGTATAGAATGGGAATGAAAGAGATCTATGCTTATAATAACAGTTAAAGCCGGGCTAGGTGGCTCAGCCTGTAATCTCGCGCCTTTGGGAGGCTGAGGTGAGTGGATTGCCTGAGCCTACGGGTTCGAGACCTCCCTGGGCAGGCGAGACCTCATCTCTACAATAAATCAAAAAATCAGCCGGGCGTGGTAGCACCGGAGCCCAGCAGGTCGAGGCTGCGGTGGCCTGGAGCAGCCACTGCACTCCAGTCTGGGCAACTGAGTGAGACTCCAACTCAAAAAAAAAAAAAAAAGTTCTAATTGCTATAAAGTGCTTTCTCAGACTTGAGTTAAAATCCACCTTTCTGAAGCTTCTGCCCATGTGTTCTAGAATCTGAATCAGAAGAGAGAGGATTGATTTCTCTTATCAGAGAGAACTTCAGGTATCTGAAAGAAACCATCATGCCTCCATAAGTTTTCTCTTCTCCTATTTGAAGGATTCCAACTGATCTAGCACCTCTTCCTATACAGGACATATCTTAAAAAAATCCCACACATCTTGTTAGCTAAAAACTGACATCCCTTCAGATAACCAAAGTCCCATGTGCGACTTTCATAATTGGTCACAATATTCCATATAACTATCTGGTCAGTGCAAAGTACGACCTGCTGGGTTCCGGTGATCCTTCTGCCTCAGCCTTCCAAGTAGCTGGAACTACAGGCACGCGCTACCACACCCGGCTGATTTTTTATTTATTGTAGAGATGAGGTCTCGCCAAGTTGCCCAGGCGGGTCTTGAACCCGTGGGCTCAGGCAATCCACTCACCTCAGCCTCCCAAAGGCATGAGATTACAGGCTGAGCCACCGAGCCCGGCTGCAATTAGAACTTTATAGTAATGAAACAGTCTGCTTCACAGCACAGTAAATGTCCTGTCACCAGTGTATGAAGGGTGAGGCTTGGACTCTAACCCGAGATGCTGGATGCCAGGAAAAGGACTTGAAATGGTGGGAAGTTGCACTGCCATGAAAATTCTTACTAATTCTATGATTATTTTTTTGAAATTCAAGATTAATGCCATTTGAAGAGTGACTTTTATGTAATTTTTATGGAATCTGATTTGCTCTCTGGGAGGTTACTTCATGTCTGTTCATGTTTGCAAATTTCAGCTTCAGTTCCCTATGAAAATTTTGAGAATGTTCACATGACTTAGTATTTAGAAGCATCAATAAATTCACATAGTACCTGTCTATAATCCCCTGTGACCATCATATGCTGTCAAATTGCTTCATTTCTGGTCTCAGCAAGTTTAGGGCTGTCTCTTTCTTCATCCTTTGAGCCAGGATTTATTTCATTATTTTGAGATTTTACAAAACACACATACATTCCTAATGTACATATTTTTGGTTCCTTGTAAGTCTTGTTAGGGACATAAAATCAGGAGATAGTAAAACAAAATACCAAAAAAAAGAACAAAATAAAACAAAAAAATCATTCTTCAGGAATAAGTGTGTTAGCAAATTCTGCTAACTAATCCTTTAGAGGCTTTTCCCTCCATCACCAGCTCCATCTCCCTCATCTGACACCCTCATGTGTTGCCATCACCTTCTTTGCTGCCAATGCAACAAGGTATATTAGCTGTTGAAACTGAAGATATTGATCCCCCTGTATGGTTTTCCCCATCTAATTTTATTCTATTTTAAAGTTGTGGTGTACAAGTCAGGATTACATACATATGTGGTTTAAGGTTATTGGCTAAGTTTTGGGCCTCCCATTACATCTCACTTCACCTGTATTAGGATCAGGCACCCATACTGATGTTATGTGCTCTTCTCCCTTCCCCAGTAGTATCCTGCTGCTGCCAATCTCTTTTGTGTAGTATTATGATAGGTGTTCAGGGTTCACTTATGAGTGAGAACATGTGGTGCTCAGTTCTTTGTCTCTGCGATAGATCATTGAGTATGATAAATTCCAAATGGTTCTCCCCATCGAAATGTCAACAATTACATTTTAAAAGTCTATATAGTAGTGATGTATATACAGCCGACCTCCCATATCCATGGATTCCACATATGTGGATTCAACAAACTGCAGATCAAAAATATTCAAACAGTAATTGTATCTGTACTAAATGTCTACAGACTTTTTTCTTGTCATTATTTCCTAAGTAATATTGTATAACAGCTATTTACATAGTAACTATTTAAATTGTATTAGGTATGTAAATAATTTAGTGATAATTTAATGTATACAGAAGAATGTGCATGAGTTATACATAAATACTATACCATTTTATATCAGGGACTTGAACATCTTGAATTTTGATATCCATGGGAAGTCCTGGAATAGATACCAAGGGACAACTGTGTTTCTTCAGATTTTGGAGTCAACCTATTTTGGGCCTGGGGTAACATCAGTCTTCATCACATATTATTTTGAGGCACCATAGAGATGCACAGGACTCAGCTGGAATGCCACCTTAGGGTTATGAGGTGCAATTGATGGTAGGTGATCAGGCCAAGAAAATGAGCTGCTTTAGGACATTTATAGTATCTTTTCCTCTGGTTGTGGCTCAGCTGAACATTCTTTCCAGACCCCAGAATCCAGGCTGGTTCATATTAAAAAAGGTAAAGGGATCTTAATGAAGGCCATTTTCAGGCCTGTTTGAATTTAGCAGCTCATTTAGGAGGGGAGTATTGACTGGTGAAAGGGCAATGTCTGCAAGAATAGCAGTGCCTGACAAAAACAGTTACTTGGCTTCCTGGGGCATCAAAAGTCATGAAAGCAAGATATTGATTTTCAAATTATTTGTCAAAAGTTGCAATCCTACTTTTGCCCTTGGTCAGCTGCATGTTACGGGGAAAGGTATACCTTCACATGGGCTCCTGGGGCAAAACGGATAAGTGGTGATATCTGCCTGTTTAGAGGCCCAGGCCTACCCGCTGTGAAACATTTGGTACAGATTTTTACACTTACTGAATGTACTGGTATGGCTGTATGGATTTTAAAAGAGAAATGCTTAAGCTTATGATTAACAGGAAAATATGAAATGCAATTTAAATCTTTATTGCCCTTAACTTTCATGAGATACATACATATATTGTTCAGCCACTTTGGTGTCTCCATCACTAGGATTACAAAGTTTCAGAGCCCGCACATCCTGGCCAATTCCTCATATCTTTGCTTTTCATGTGACCCTCATAGGCATCTCTTTTGGTGTCTCTGATTGGTTCTGAATGCTGAGCAGGGACAAGCACCAACACAGCTGGACAGGGCTGTAAGATTTGCTGTTCTGTCTTCCAGCTGGGAATTATTGCCATGGATACCAGTATCAGAGGAAGACTGGGGAGCACTCCTCACTCGCCTCCTGTGTGTCTGACATCTGTTTCTGGCTAGGCCAATCATGAGTGAGCTGCTAGCTTCATATCAAAACGGGAGACTGATTCACACCTCTTTTGTTTTCTTTTTAACCACAGATGGCCTCTGCCCAAGAAGCCAGGTATGGCCAGAAAGACTCCTCTGATCAGAACTTTGACTACATGTTCAAACTGCTCATCATTGGCAATAGCAGTGTGGGGAAAACGTCTTTTCTGTTCCGTTATGCAGATGACTCCTTTACATCTGCATTTGTCAGCACAGTTGGGATCGATTTCAAAGTAAAAACTGTATTCAAAAATGAAAAGAGAATCAAGCTTCAGATTTGGGTAAGTGACTTTGAACCAGCAGTGTTCTTCAATCTGGGGTATTGAACATGTAAGTGTGCAAGGGGAAAACTTTATGCCTTGTTCTGTCCCCACGGGGTTCACAAGCCTCCATTTTTAGCTTCTTTGCTGCAGAACATTCTGTTTCAAAGACAGTAGGAGTGATTCCTCTTTAAGATATGGAGAGTGAGTTATTATGCCTTGTTGTCAAGTGAGGCTGATTAAGAGTCGTCAGCAGAAAAACATATCCAAGCCTCTATCTTGTTGGTGGCAGAAAGAATACTCAATGAGAAGCCTGGCTCTGCCTTTTATCATCTGGGTGACCTTGAGCAAGTCTGTGAATCCTTCTATGCTACTTTTATAACCTATAAAATAGGCAAAGTATATCTGGCCCTTTATGTAACAGGAAGCAACCTTCCTTAGGCATTTTAAACAGGAAGATATAGGGAAAGCTTAGGTTTAGACCCTTCTTGAAGCCCCAGATATAACTTTGAACATAGTCTATTTATACTTTACAGACTTTGTGTTTTCAGCTTTAAGAGCTATGTGTATCTATACACTCAAATAAATAAAACAAATGAAACAAAATATTTGTTTGAAACAGGGTCTTCTCTAAGTAAAAGTTTCCTCAAATGTTTTGAGGGTAGATTTCTGCCTGTTCTTAGCCCCAGGAGATGATCAGCATTTTCTTAATTAAATGGTTGGGATACATTTAGGAGAACAGAGGGAAAATCTATGTAGGTAACAGGTCCAAGTAATATAAGAGATGAAGTAACCCCCAAAATTGGTCACCACGAGACAGGATTATGTAGTAAACATCTTATGGACATCATAATATGTACATAGTTCGGTGGCTCAGCCTGTAATCCCGCGCCTTTGGGAGGCTGAGGTGAGTGGATTGCCTGAGCCCGCGGGTTTGAGACCCGCCTGGGCAGGCAAGACCTCATCTCTACAATAAAATAAAAAAATTCGCCGGGCGTGGTAGCACGCGCCTTTAATTCCGGCTGCTCGGAAGGCTGAGGTGGAAGGATCGCTGGAGCCCAGCAGGTCGAGGCTGCGGTGGCCGGGAGTGGCCACTGCACTCCAGTCTGGGCAACAGAGTGAGTGAGACTCCAACTCAAAAAAAAAAAAGAATGTTTCTACAGTCAGTTTTGGCCTTTTTTTCCTGTTCGCTAGTACCTCTGCCACTGAAATTGATCTGATCTATAATCAGACATTTCCCAAGGGATGTTTTATACCTCCTTTTGAGACATTGCCAACAGCCACTACCATTTGGTGCTTGTGCCAGGATCAATCTGTGGGACTGACTATAAACCTCCCTTCTTAAATATGGAAAGTTGAGAGGAAGACAAATACCAGAGTTCAGCATTTAAAATTTTTTTAAAAGAACACTTCATTAAAATATCTGTGTAAACTGAATGACTTTTAAGCATCATAAAGGTCTTATTAAAGTAGAAATTTAAAGTAAAATTTAATGGTACAGGTATATATACAAACAGGTGTCTTCTTAGGTACCTTACAATGAATTGTTACTGTTTTACTTACTGTAACTCTGGAATCTTCCAAGTCTAATGAGAACTCACATAAGAGTGTTGACAAATTGACCCAGCATGGTGGCTCATGTCTGTAATCCCAGTACTTTCAGAGGCGGAGGCGAGAGGATTGCCTGAGCCCATGGGTTCAAGACCAGCCCTGGGCAACATGGCGAGACCTCATCTCTACAATAAATCAAACAATTAACTGAACGTGGTGGTGTGCACCTGTAATTCCAGCTACTTGCAAGGCTGAAGAGGAAGGATCACCTGAACCCAGCAGTTCGAGGCTACAGTGGCCATGAACTTGCCACTGTACTCCAGCCTGGGTGACAGAGTGAGACACTGATTAAAAAAAAAAAAAAAGGTTGACAAATACATCCTATCTCTCCATCATTTTCCAGGGCCGTTTTTGTTGGGAGGGTCCCTCTCTAGGAATTTGACCTCAATCAGTGTAGATACCAGTCACATATCCCAGTATATGGAGAAAAAAACCTCGTCCATTGCTTCATGCAACCAATTGTCATATGATACATTTTATATTAAGTTTTAAGAATGGTTCCTAAATTCTCAGAGGTTTTGGTGAATTAAAAATTAAATTAATTTGATAACTACACATCTCTTAACTCCCTGACAATGTTCTTTCTTTCTGCTTATGTAAAAGTACAATAATTCCTCTGGCTAACAGCTTCTAGTTTTTATTATCTTGTGTCATAATTCTTTAAAGATGATTTTTGTAATTATTTAGATAGAACAAATGGTGTGTTAAGCCAATCTTATAATTTCTAGCAATTTTTTCAATTTGACCGAAATTATTTGCTGAGGTACGAAATCACCTACCCTTAATGTAAAGCAGATATACAAGGAGGAACCCCCCCCCAAAAAGAATTATTTTTTGGAGGGCAGGTCCCTTGTAATACAGGTTCCCCTGCTAGGTAAGTGTTCTAGGGACCCATTGGTATCAGTGTAACAGCTAGGATTGTTGTGAGAGGCTATGTTCAGCTTCAGTGAATTTTTAAAAAATTGTAATGATGTGGGGTACAAGTAAGCATTAGGTGCATAAGTAGTTTATGTGCAGGTAAAGTTTGGGTCCCAAATTGGTGCCCACTTCTCCTGGTCTAGGGTCAGTTACCCTTAGTAATATCACATGCCCCCCCTTCTACTGGTAATATCCTGTTATTGCTGACATCTCTCTTGTAGTATTGTGATAAATGCTCAAGATCCATTTATAAGTGAGAACATGTGTCTCTGTTTCTGTGATAGATCACTGAGTATGATGGATTCTAAGTCCATCCAAGTTGCTGTGAAGTCCATAATTTTGTCCTTCTTGATGGCTGCATAGTATTCCATTATGTATATATACCACATTTTCATTATCCAATCCAGTTTTGATTATACCAGTTTTGATGAGAAGTACAGTTGGTTCCATGTTTTTGCTATTGTCAACAGTGCTGCAATAAACATGTGTGTACAAGTATCTTTTTTTGTAGAATGATTTGAGTTCCTCCAGGTATATTCCCAGATTGGGGATTGCTGGGTCATAGGGAAGGTCAATTTCTAGTTCTTTTAAAAATCATCATACTGTTTTCCATAGAGGTAGAACAGTGTAGAAGCATTCCTTTTCCTCTGCATCCTCTCCAGCTTCTGTTGTTTTTTTAATGGTGGCCATTCTTACTGGAGTTAGGTGGTATCTCAATGTGTTTTTGATTTGCATTTCTCTGATGATTAGTGAGGCTGAGCACTTTTCCATGTGTCTGTTTGCTGTTGATGTGTCTTCTGTTGAGAAGTGTCTGTTCATGTCTTTACCAACTTTTTGATGGAGTTTTTGTTTTGTTTTTTTTTTTCCTTTTGGCACGTTTGAGTTCCTTGTAGATCCTAGATGTTAGGCCTTTGTCAGATACAGAGTTAACAAATATTTTTCCCATTCTGTGGGTTGCCTTCCTGCTTTCTTGATGGTTCAGTACCTTTTGTTGTTGTTGTTGAGATTTTCTTTCAATGCATTTGCCCATTTCATGATGAGTGATTTGCTAGTGTGCCTGCCCACACTATACTGAGTGTTCAGCAGTTTTGTTTTGTTTTTTTACCAAAAATGGCATGACCCCTGGACCCTACCCTCCCTATTCACCCGATCTTACACTGAATGACTTTGTACTGTTTCCCCAGATGAAAAAAGTTTTCAGAGGGAAACGTTTTGCTGAGGTGGAAAAGTTGAAACAAAAAATGGCAGAAGCACTAAAAGGCGTCATCATTGATGAATTCAAAAACTGTTCTGAGCAGTGGGAAAAGTGTCTTGATAGGTGTATTGTATGGTATCAAATAGAGAGTACTTCGAAGGTGACTGAAGTTTAAACATGTAAGAATAAATACACAATTTTTAATAAGTAAATTCTGGGCTTTTTGGGTACCCTCTTATATTTAAAATAATACAAATTGTTACTCGTACTTGAGAAATATTTCTTTAAAACACTCAATGCTGGCACCAGACCAGCTAATTCACTCACCTTTCTTGGGCATTAAAGTAAGTGATTTCTGAGTGTGTCTTACTTCTGGATGAATGTTGCTCTTCTCTGAGCCAATCAAGGATCCACACAGACACCTGAGTTGCTTCTGCTCTAATTCTTCCTCATGCTTCTTGGTTTCCATAACTTCACACAAAAACCTGTTCCATATCATTCTGTTCAGATTTGGCTCTAATCTTCCACAATCCATCATTTTTAGAAAACATCCAAGTCTCACAGTCAGTCCAGCTTGGAATCTCATTCTAGGACCTCCATTCTCCTGCTGTGTGAACACCCACATTTCCATCAGGGCTCAGCCACTTGGAAATCCTTTGCTTTTTCCTGTCATCAGTCACAATAGTAGTTTTATGGTCAATATTTCTGTAAGTAACACATAATCTCATTTCTTTCTCTTTAGGTATATCAGGAGCTCTTAAGACATAAGATTCTGGGGGTATGAAGATTAGTTTTACATTATTTACTAACTGGTCTGTTAGACTGTGAAACATTCAAATGGAGCATTGTATGTAGATTTTATGCTTATCGAACTTGTAGGATGGTTAGAGAAATTAATATTCATGGAGTCATTATGTACTTCTACAAAGCAAATTGTATAAATGTTTCACACAACTAGAATTTATTGAATAGATACCATATGCTAGGTTTTTGACTATGCATTATCTCTAATACTTACAACAATCCAAATTTGTATTTATTATTATTCTTATTTTACCTGAGAAATCTGAAGGTGAGACAACTTAAATAACTTGTTCAGGGTTGTACATTGTCAGTGGCTTAAAGGGGAGGCCAGGCCAGATCTCATAGTTTCTAATGCTGGACTTGTTCCTCTTCATCATGCTGCTATTATTAAGAAGACTTAGCCGGGCTCGGTGACTCAGCCTGTAATCCCGCGCCTTTGGGAGGCTGAGGTGAGTGGATGGCCTGAGCCCGCGGGTTCGAGACCCGCCTGGGC